GTCCCGTTCAAAAGCTCCTGCTCAGCTCTCTTTCCAGCCAAGGTCTAAGTGGCGGAGGGGGTGTCCATTTTGAAGTGTGGTGCAGGTCGGTAGACGTCGGTCCGCAACTTGGCCGGAGGGCACCGTGACACCCGTGCGTTTGAGACAAAAGTGTCCAGTCTTTGGAAGTACAGCTCGAGTAATAATTACCGTAACTCATTCACTGTTTTTGTCAACTGGAATCCACCCGTCTACTGTCGAGTCCGGTTTTCACCAAGTAGGCGTGGAAGAGGGTCAAAACAAGAGGCTTCAACAAACTGACCTTCCCGCAGATATTACTATCCCAATGTGCGAGACCAGCTGGTGGCCAAAGGAATTCTGCCCTTGTCCAAGCTGTGCGCCATGGTCACCATGCAGGGGCGCCATCCCGACGAGGCCCGCTTGTTCTCGCTACCGCTGCTCCCCAGAGTGGACGGCCTGGCGGCACATCAGCCTCTGCCCTCTGGTCTGCACTTTCAACTCAATATGAAGTATTTGTCCGTACGGTAATTGTCCACGTATTTGCGGTTCACCCTTCACAAATGTACGGCGTGTACTTGTGTTCTATGGAAGAGGCCACAAAATACGACCCGAAGTCCTGCCGAAATCAGTAAGTACATTGAGGCCAGTGGAGTAGCGTCATGGACGTCTCCCCGTAACGCAAGTACTGCGCTGTAATGACCTGTCTATATGCCACAGGATTGCTCCAAAGTCATATTTTGAGCACAAACAGCAAAAAGGGACTTTTTCCGTCAATAACGGAGGATAGGCGTAACTGCCGCTTTTGCTAGAGTTCATGAACGCACAATACTGGCCTCTGATTGGTCTATTGGCGCACAGATAAAAGGGGGCAGGGGGTCCTCTCTACCTATTCATATTTGTAGAAAAAAATGCAATTAGTAATAAAATGATGTCATGAGGAGTGTAGCGCAATGCTTGATACATCATCAGAAAGCAGACACCATTCTCATTTCTTATCGCTTGTCTTGGTGATGGAAATGTGACCCGTGTGTTTTGTCAGGCCTCCTGGACGTGTGCGTCCGCTACAAGTGCCGCCCAGTCCGAGCGGACGCGCCCGCCGGCAAGGGCCCGGCCTCTTGTCTTGTGACGCTTGTGGTTCAAGTGCACAGAGGGTGTGGTTTGCAGGCAGCAGCCAGGTACGAGGCCCCCGCCACCCTCGTTAGCTCCGCTCACTGCCGGGTAACGCGACCCCAATCTGTTTCTCGGTCGTCGCAGAGCCGTCGCCCAGCGAGACGAAAGGTACGACTACTTTGCGGGCGTGGGCGTCAACTCCTACGTGAGCGTCCGCTTGCCCTTCTTGCCCGACGACGAGGCGACGTGCACACGCGTGGCCGCCAGAACCTTCTGCCCCGAGTTTGACCACCGCGCCGAGGTGCGCTGCGACGCGCTGGTCCACAAGAGCGGCGGTGAAATCTGCAGTCTGGCCGAGCAGCTGGCCGAAGCGTGGGCCGTCTTCACCGTCTGGAATAAAGACAACCGCAAAGGTTGAGTGCCACTTCCCCAATCGATTCTTTAGAAGAGAGCGTTTCCAACGTGATGTGCCGGAAAAGTTCCAACCTCGGTCCTGCTTGAATTAAACACGTACGAGCCCTGTTTCTCATCCTGGTCCGTCATGTATGGACTGACTTGGTGTCTTTTTCTGTGCAGGTCTTACCTCCAGGCCTCCGGCTGTGGTGTTGGGCACTGTGAAAATCCCGCTGGCCGACCTCCTCTGGAAAACAACAGGTGCGCTTCTCTATTTGTGACCGCGATTCATCGCGCTCTCCGTGACGTGTGCTCGCTTGATGCCCGCTGCACTGCTTTTGTGGTTGCGAGGTGAAGGCGTTGCTAAAGTGCCAATTCCAGTTGAGAATCACTTCAACATAGAGTTATACAAACGCACACATTCGGTATACCTACAGATGATTAAATCGGAGAATCTGACGCTTTATCAGCAGTTTCTTCATCTTCTGTTCATACATCTATCACGGTCCCTTCCTTTCCGTCTGTTGAGGTATTTCCGGCTGGTTCGGCATCTACGCCGCCCGGCAATCTCCTGAAAGTCAGCAGACGTTAGTCGGAGGCCTGGAGGTCTCCGTCGCCTTCGCCCACCACTCGGAGCGGGAGCGGATCATTCAGGCCGCTCGGGATTTGGGCTGGGATCCGACCCGGGCTCAGGTGGACTGCGACGACCGGGACACCTGGGAGCAGAGCGCCGGGAAGTTATCCCTGACCTTCGCCATACCCAGAGCCTGGTTGCCCCTGCGTTGCCTGCTCCTGCCGGGCCACGACACCCTGCAGCGCTCCACCTACTGTTACCTCCGCTACAAGTTCTACGAGCACGAGGCCTTCTGCTCGCACATGAAGCACCCGTGCGCCGGCGAGGGCGCCGAGGGCGACCAGGCCATCGTGACCTTCCAGGGGAGTCGCACGGTGGAGCTGATGAGCTCTCAGCCGCTCATGTGGTACCTTCGAGAGGAGAGGCTGGAGGTGCAGGTGTGGGTGGCGTTCCAGAAAGACAAAAGCCAGAGGCCCCGGGACACAGACCGCCTGCTGGGGTCCGCCTTCATCGATCTGTCTTCGCTCGCGAAGGCTCGCAAGCAGAGGTCGACTCTCAGTGGTATGAAAGCGTCAGGGTGCTTTTAATTTTCGACCGTTTTGTATCATGAGTATTACAAGGCCACCATAAACACGGGACCCAAAAAGGCTGACTGTAGGACCCTGAGAATGTCACGCTGTTCTCAGTTGAACTCAGCTTTCCTGTACTCCTGAAAGAACTGAGGCACTGAAAGCGAATGGCGTTAAAAGCCACGTAGGCCGAATGCAGCGGCTTTAGTCGTACAGCCCCCGTCAAAACACGTTTTCCAAAACGGAAGCATGCATAAAGCAGAATGAGGCACAATCACAAGTATTAATAAGCAAACTAACGCTAGATGTCACATCATCTGTCATGCCTTGACTGAGGAACCGAGCCATAAGAACTGAAATCAGGAGGGCTGATATGGGAGAGTATCAAATGAAATCAAGAAATAGCTTGATGTTGAAAATAGTATCTATCGCATGTCCTCAGCCTTCAATGCGAAGCCTTAGAATTGTTCTTCTCTGCACAGCTGCGTTGACATTCATTTTCATTTCTGCGGTCATGCTTGATAGGAGTGTATCCGCTGTTCAGGCGTTCGGCAGCCGACCTGCAGGGCGCCGCTCTGCGGGTGCACATCAGCCTGACCCCCGGTGGCCTTCCGGCACCTCAAGACAACGTGGCGGAGTCCGACAGCCAGGAGGAGGAGACCTTAGTCGTGGAGCCGGCGGCGCCTACGCCGCCTACGTCGCCGCCTCAAACGACGCAAAGCCAAACCGCCCGAGATGTCACCTTGTCGCAGCCGGCTGAAATATTGAGCGACGACCAATCATTCCCGGTCACGCTCGCCGTCCACAGGGCCAAGAACCTCACTCTGAAAGGTGAGCATGTGAAGCCCTCAGCGACCTGTGCGGGCAGCATTTTGTCAGGCAGCTTGACGTTTCAACACCATATTTTCAGGCAATGACAACATGCCCCTCCCCGCTCCGGTAGGTTGCCCGCCGTCTGAGAGCGGCGAGGGGACGCTGCGCTGCTACGTCTCGTACGCCGCCGCCGACTCAGCCGAACCCGTATCCACGGCTGTGGCGGCCGACACAAACTGCCCCGTGTGGGACCACTGGCGTGACTGCAGGCGGGTGCCTTTCCCCCAGAAATGATGTGAGAAATCTCCACCGTGGGCTGCTTTAGTGATGCTTTTGTATTGAATTCATCAGGCTGGCCAAGCAGCTCCTACTTGACCCTCAACAACCGACTTCGGCGGCCATTGCCACGGCCAGCTCAAAGTGAGCGTCAAGCCGCTGAAGTGGGTGCGAGACCTCCGCGGACAAAGGAAAGCCGCTGTGGACGCAGAGGTACGTAAGACAAAAGTGTCCAGTCTTTGGAAGTACAGCTCGAGTAATAACTACCGTAACTCATTCACTGTTTTTGCCAACTGGAATCCACCCGTCTACTGTCGAGTACGGTTTTCACCAAGTAGGTGTGGAAGAGGGTCAAAACAAGAGGCTTCAACAGTGCGATTTTAAACGGCGCTTGGTTTCGGTATCTCGGCACAAATGCGACCATGAACGCTTTGAAAGCTTTTGTGTTTCCTTCCCAGCCTTCATCGCAGGTTGCACCTCGCAGCTACCACACCACAGCCACGTACAGCAGTTTCCCGTCTCACATCAGCCGATACCCCGAGCAGCACATCTCTTCCCCCGACCGTGCGGACGCCATCTTCCCCAAAATGTTTGTACCGCCCAGATATAAATGTCATGCATATGGAATAATCTTTTTTTTTTTTTTAATGCATCAAGTGATTGGGCGACAAAGTCACGCAACGTTATATGAGCCACTTTTTTGCCACCCCCCGACCAGCTCTGTGCGCCATCTTCCCCAAAATGTTTGTACCGCCCAGATATAATTGTCATGCATATGGAATAATCATTTTTTTAAATGCATCAGAGATTGGGCGACAAAGTCGCGCAACGTTATATGAGCCACTTTTTTGACACCCCCCGACCAGCTCTGTGCCCAGCGAGAGCGAGCGCCACCTCGAGCACATGCAAAAGGTGCGCCTTCATCATCAGAGCCTTCAGGAGCAAGCTGGTATTCACTCGGTCTGCGACGGCAGCAGCGGCGGGGGGGACAGCC